TTGCACCATACTTTAGAATGTGATTTTACTTGGAGACAGGGCCTTTAAAGAGTTAGTTAAATTAAAATGAGCTGTTAGGGTAGACCCTAATCCAATCTAACCAGTGTCCTTATTAGGAGATTAGGGTATAAAGAGAGACACACCAGGGATGCATACATACAAAGACCATCTAAGGACACAGAAGGCAGCCATCTGCAAGCCAAGGAGAAGAGATCTCAGGAGAAAGTCAACTTGCCAACACCGTGATCTCACACTTCCAGACCTGTGAGAAAATTAGTTGCTGTCGTTTAAACCATACCAATTGGTGGTCTTCTATTATGGTAGTCCTAGCAAACTAGTACAGGAATATTAGGCCTTTATTTGTGATGCTTTCTTCTAGGATGTTTACATTCCTAATCTGTTTGGTATGATGTAAGGTATGGATAGAATTTTATTTTTTTCCAAATGGCAAACCAGGAAACTTGTCCGAGCTATGTGCTTATATTTTAATTTTTTATTTTGAGATCATTGTAGATTTACATGCAGTTGTAAGAATATAGAGATCCCATATAACCTTCACCCAGTTTCCCTCAGTGACAATTTCTTGTAGAACTATAGTGCAATATCATGACCAAGATCTCGATATTGATACAATCCACAGAACTTATTCACATTCTTTGCCAGTTTTACATGCACTGTTTGTGTATCTCTGTGTATATTTAGTTCTGTGTGATTTTATCATTTGTGGAGAGTCATTTGACAACCACTCCCATCACTATTCAGAACAGTTCTATCCCAAGGATCCCTTGTGCTACCCTTTTATAGTCATAGCCACCTCCTCTCCACCCAATCCCTGGCATCCTCTAACTTGTTCTCTATGTCTATCTTTTTGCATTTTAAGAATGTTATATAAATGGATTCATACAGATTAGAACTTTATGAGATTGGTTCTTTTTCACTCAGCATGATTCCCTTGAGAACCATCCAAATTGTGTGTTTCAGTGGTTCATTCCTTTTTATTGCCAATGTTTTGCCATGGTAGAGATATACCCTAGTTTGTTTAACCATTTACCTGTTAAAAGACATCTGGGTTATTTCCAGTTTTTGATTATTACAAATAAAGCTGCTATGAACATTCACATATAGGTGTTTGTATAAACGTATGTTTTCATTTCTCTGGGATAAATGGCCAAGAGTGCAGTTGCTGGGTTGTATGATAAGCTCTGCACTTACTTTTTATTGTGAAACTTCATTTATTTCAACTTTGTTCATTCCCAGCTCTGTGGATAATGAAATTATTCTATTATCCATTGGAATTTACGTTTGCAGCGTCATTGGTCACAAGAGAAATGCAAATTAAATACAAATGTACCACTACACACCTATTAGAATTGCTAAAATTCAAAAGACACAATAATAATGCTGGTTGGGTGGCGCAACTGGAATGCTCATACACTGCATGTGGGAGTGTAAACGAACATTCACTTTCAAACACTATTTTGCAATATTTATTAAAGCTAAACATATGTGTACTTTCTAACCTAGCAATTCTATTTTTTGAGTACATAATACAAACAGAGCTAATTTCATATGCACACCAAAAGACTGACACAAGAATGTTCATAGCAGCTTTACTCATAATAGCCCAAAACTAGAAACAAATACCCCATCAACAAGAGAATGGAGGTTGCCCCTGGATTGTTCAGTCAGTTGTGTCCGACTCTTGATTTCGGCTCAGGTCATGATCTCACAGTCGTGGGATTGAGCCCCATGACTCAGCACTGTGTGTGGAGCCTGCTTGGGATTCTCTCTCTCTCCATCTCTTTCTGCCCCTCCCCTGTTTGTGTGCATGCGCGCACCCCCCCCACACACACACACTCTCTCTCTCCCCCAAAATAAATAAACATTTAAAATAAGGAAAAGAAATCATACATGCTCAGTAAATGGCAGATCTATGTTTTGAATCCACATTTCTCTAACTACAAAACCAGTTCTCTTTCAATTCTGGTTTTTGCCCCAGAAGCCCAGATTTTATTATATTAAATGAAACCCTAGCATAAGTAATTCATTTAAACAAATACAACTTGCTCTAAATTGGTAGATTTAAAGGACTGATGATGCCTTATATTATAGTAAAAGAGACACTCTTATGGTATGTTGGTGAAATTTTAAGCAGGGCAATTGATGAAGATGATGTAAGTCAGTTTTAACTGTGAAAGCCTCATTCTCAACAATATTTAAGACTCTGTTCAAAAGATATAATTATATGTGTGCACAAAAAGGAGTGTGCAGTGAAACACTATGCAATATTGGGGAAAGCAGCTAAATATCCTTCAATAGGGAAATGGTTACATAGTATATCCAGACAATGTAGTCAAACATTATGATAGATTGTAATTTGATGACATGAAAAACTTTCACTGTATTTTGTCAGATGAAGAAGGCAGATTACAAAACAGTATTGTAGTATGATTCTGTTTTGAATGAACAAATCCTATGTGCCTATATCCATGTGTTAATTCACAGAGAAATATGAAATGATTTAGAATAAAATGTTCAAATAAGCTGTTTCTAAGTGAGCATTATTTTGAGCTTTTCTGTATTTTCTAAATTTCTGAATAACAATCAGAAAAAATAATAGAGCTAATCCCTCCCTCTTTGAGAGCAGAAGAAATAATAAGAGATGTATATGAAATACGGAGTGTAGTGCAGTAGTGGTTTAAATTCTGGCTTAGGGTGGCCTGAAGTTTCTTCATAGATGTGAAGCCTTTCGGATGAATAACTCAACTACTACCTTAAAGATCCTAAACCTTGAAACTAAGATTTTATTACACATTGGATTCCTCTTCCTGGTTGCCCCTCACCTAGGCTCAGATGTATTATTGCCTGCCAATCCCTCCACCAGTCATTGCTCCAACAAGGAAATCACATCTGCCTTGGAAATTAATATTAAACCCTGCACATAGGAGAAGAAATGGAACTTAGGCCTGATGTGGCTGTGTAGAAATTCAGACCATTCCCTTGATCATTAGGCAGAAAAGGAAGTTGAGAAAGTAATCTGAAGGATCAGGATGATGACAATTTAGAAAACACAGCAGAGAGGCCCGTTTCTACTTCCAGGAATCTTAAATCAGTCCTTCAGAAAATTAGCTAAGTACCCTAAAGAGTCACAGTGAAGAAAGATGGCTCTAGGATGCAGACTTTGAATTGGAAAAGGGAAAAGAGATATTATAATCCAGGAGACCCAGTTGATTAAATAAATACACATAGATCCTTTATCACACCCTTGAACAAATTCTTCCGAGTGGGGTGAGTTATCTATACTCCACTCAGCAGAAGTCAATTCCACATTCCTGGGTCTACATACCCCTAAAATGACTGGAACTCATATCCTGATAAGGTTCTAGAAGGGAATGCAAAGTTGGTGAAGACATGGGAGCTGGACAGTAAGAAGGAGCTGCTCAGCAAAGTTAATAGTTAAATAAATTACAAAATATCCATGTAAAAGAATATTAAGATAAACAAATCCAAAGCTGTAGGAAGTAATCAAGGATATAGAAAAATTTCAAGATATAACATCAGTAGAGAAATCACTTTACAAAACAGATTAACAAATACAATTATACCAATATTGAGTGATACAAAAAAAAGTTAAACAACTGTTTCAGTTATCTGTTGCTATGTAACCATTCCAAAATCTTGTGGCTTAAAAAACATTCATTAGCTCATTCTGGGGTTGGCAATTTGGGCTTGGTTTGGCTGAGTGGGTCTACTGATTCCACTCATCTAACAGCAGCCAGTGGTTTGGTGGGGGCTGGATGGTCCAAGATGGTCTCTGAAATATCTGGTAGCTGTTGCTGTCAGCTGGGCCTCTGTCTCCAGGTGATCTTCTATCTTCAAGCAAGCTAGTCATAACCTTCAGTAAAAGGTGGCCTCAGGGCAGGAAGAGGAAAAGAGCGGACCTCCTAAGGTTTTGTCTCACAAATCTTACAATGTCACTTCCACCACAGGCTTTTTGCCAAAGTCCATCAAAAGGCCCTGCCTACTAGTAACCTAACCATTTCAGAACAATTACTCCTTTTTCTGAAAAACAAAAAGGGAACAAGGAGAACAAAATCCCTGACCTTAAGCTTGGTTTCAGATATGCCCAGTAATGTTTTCCTTTATTCAGAGCTCTTCTCTCAGTGAACAGCTCTGTAGGGAAAGGGAAGGGGCATGGGAAGGGTAGGAATCATTAGACACCAGACCTTTCTTGGAGCACAGACTAGCTAAACTGGAAGAAATTCTTCAACACCACACAATCTCTCACCATCTGTCACACACATACTGGACAGAAGTAAAAGGGAGATGGGGAGTACTGCTAATCCTTTTTAGTATCAAAAGGAAAAGCCAGGGTCACTGATATCCAGGGCTGAAAACTTTCCAAGTTCACAGCAAGTTTCCTGGGGAGACAGCTTTGGGAATGATGTGGTTCTAAAACACGGAACTTGACCTCAGCTCCCAAGGGAGATCCTCTAAGGAAGGAATGCCACTCCTAGGCTCTCCAAACTCTGCCTAAAGGACTCTTCCAATTCTAAAATTTCATTCCAAAAACTGGTTTGTGCTTTTTTGCTTGCATGTAACTTTATACTACCACTCAAATATCGGACTCCCTTTGGTGACCATTTCTCTGCAGCTGGGGTCCATGGCTGTAAAGCAAGAGAAAAAAAAAAAGAAGAAGCAGCAGGGAACCCAGGAATACAGATCCTAAAAAAGGTTAGAACCTAAAATTGGCCCCTAGATGGGCAACACTCACTTTACTGATACCCCACTGTGTTAAGCAGGAAGCTAGGCACTGGACGTTGGGGAGGAGGGGAGGGAGGCGGTGCCCTGACGAAGGCAGCTGAGACCATGCTTTAGTGCAAGGGCGACTCAAGTTAATACAGGCATCGCAGTCTTCACAAGCGCAGATATACTCTCAAAAAGGTCTTCAAAAGACCCCTCAGTCCCGACGTTAAACCCAGAACTGAAGAAATGAAGCTCTATCCCATTACACAACCGAACTCGTACCAGTCAAAGCATTAAAAGCTTTTTCCATCACAGTAGGTAACAGCACTGTCTTATGATGGGCGGTCTCAAACCCCACAGTGTCACGTGCCTCACACTACGGCTGACCAGTCACCCCAAACGTTCCGCATCCGCGTTGGGACGTACACGCACAATCACACACCTGTCACGGCCTCAGCACCGCCCACACTCTCATTCGTCTTCGTCACCGCCACAAACGCTCACACGCAAACAGCCGTACACAGGCCTGAGCTCCAGGCTCAACGCGCCCTGTCTGCACCTTGGGGGCTCGGGGCTTCCTCACTGGCGCGCCCGCCACGCCCAGACTCCGGCGGCCACTCGGAGCGCGAAGACTTTGAGGGATAACCAGAGAGGACCCAGGGCTCAAAGTTCTTTTCAAAAGCTGCACAGGGGGCTTTGGGAAATGTAGTTCAAGGCTGGAAAAGCCCGGATGTCGAGCGCGCGCAAGGAGGCTGCGGCTTCAAAGACTGAACCGCAGAGACACTTGGGAGGTACAGCTCGCGCGGGAGTACGCAGGCGCAGACCGCTGGCCAGTGGTCGAAGGTGAGGCTGGTGGGTCCCACCTAGGCGGTGGAGGCGGGTGATGGCGGGACCTGGGGGGAATGCAGAGGAGGGAGGCGGGAACCTGGCCAGGAAGGCCGGGGAAGAAGGCAAGAGTTCTGGGCCCTGGAGAGAACGGGAGGGAGGCGAGAACCTAAGCAGAAGGAGCCAGGGCCGGGAAGGCCGAGAAGGGAATAGGGAGCCCGGGCCAGGGAGCGTCCTAGAGGGGAACCGGTAGTCCAGGCTGGACAGCGCCGAAGAGGGAACTGGAAGCCCGAGTTGGTGTGAGCTTGGGGAGGGCAGGAATTTTGTCCCCCACCCCCACCCCACACCGTGTGGAAACCCCAGCTTTCGGAGTGCGGCCTGGCACACACGGGCATTCAGTTCGTGTAGCTTTTTGTGCCCGTTCTTGTGCAGCTTGGGCATGTGTTACTCCGTGTGACGTTGTGGAACCAGTTGTTTGGAAAGTGATAAAGTCTCTGTGTTTGTCTAATTTTTCAAATAGGATGCGAGTTGATTTGTTTTTGAGACTGCATGCGACTTTGGAGAGACGATAGTAAGGGGTTTTTGTGAGTAAAATTTTGCTATTTTGTGTGAAGTATGTTATGGGCTCTGTGAGATTATGCCTGTGATGTGCCTATGGGATTGTGATTGTGTCGTGGGTAATATAACTGTGTCTTTGTCTAATTTTTAAAGTATCTTGTGTGTACAATCCGCAGTAATTCGTGAATGTTATTATGTGACTGAGATGGAGCGCTTGAGAAATTGGATGCATGACCAGTTAAATATGTATTGTTTCGATTATCTGAATACTGGCATTTTATATGCTTATAGATTTCACTCTATGGCAACTGGATAAGTGAAATAGAGATTTTTTTTTGATGGAGAGGAGGAAGTGAAATAAAAATAATTTTCAGATGGTAGGATTGTATATTGGGAAACCCCACACTGACTAATGATTGGTATGTTGAAATGAGTAGGACACCATAAAAAATTGGGCAAGACACAAAAAATTTCTCCCCTAACTGCCACTCAAAGTTTCTATTTGGGTGAATCCCTTTTTTTCCCTGCTACTACTGGATGCATTGCGAGACAGATTGAGTAATTTCTTTGCTCATTCTGAAGACTGAATCTGTTGAACATTTAAATACAAGACCAGTCTCATAATAACTATTTAGTTAAATAAAATATTCACTATAGGGGCGCCTAGATGGCTCAGTTGGTTGAGCATCCGATTCTTGGTTTCAGTGCAGTTCACGATCTCACAGTTTGTGGGTTCCAGCTCCACCTTGGGCTCTCTGCTGACAGTGCAGATCCTGGTTAAGATTTCTCTCTCCCTCTCTCTGCCCCTTCCTGGCTTGCTCTCTCTTTCCTTCTCAAAAAATAAATAAATGAATATTTTAAAAAACATTCACTATAGACACCAATACTTCAAACTTGTTTTAAATAAAAACCCTCCCTCCTACTGGAAGCCTGCCTGGGAAAAGGGTACATGATCAGCTTCTTTTCTAATTCTTCAACTTCTATTTTGTCTCTACTTCCTCTAGGTGGGTAGTCTCTGGCTGGAATGGATTGGGAGCTGGAAAACAAGAGACAAGAAGTTAGGGACAAGAAGAGGCTAACATGATTGGTACCATTATAATTTATTGTAAGTCATCTCTTACCTTCTGAGAGAACCCACTGCTGGGAACTTCCAGATACACTTCCCTTCTTATGGGTACAGCCACTTCTCCAGCTGTCTTCTCAATGTTTCCTCTGGGCACGCAGTTGGCCACCTGCTCTGGTGGGTCTTGTTGTCTCTCCAGTGAGTCCTCTTGGACAAGAGAATCCAAGCCATTCCAGGCAGGCTCCATCCATGGGTTGCCCATCTAGAGCTCAGGTGAGAATTAGCCCCTTAGTCACTTTGCCCTCTCAAATCCTGAAATATGTACATTTTTCCCCAAAACTCCCTTTACCACTTTGTTTCCCAGTGACATCAGCATCTGAGGGGCCCCTTGTTTCTTATAAGAAAGCACCCACTTTTCTTCACCTGGAAAACTATGTCCTAAAAAATAGTTTACTCTCTTAGACAAAGTAGGAGTTAAATTAATGGTAGCAAAACTTTATGTTTTTTATAAGACTTTATTTTAGAATGAGGGACACTTAGAAGCTTGCTTTCCTCACCATCTTTGGAACATCTGCTGAGACTGAGAGAAAAATTTATAAGTTACCATGCTGTTATAAACAGTGACAACAATTAGAAAATTCAGAGGTTGTTGGAAAAATCATTGACAAATCAATAAGCTTCATTTATATATGTGTGCTTATGTGTATATATATGTATCAGAAAACTATGGAAAATGACCAATGGTCATCAAAAATATGAGATACAAAGAATTTCATAATGTATAAGTAAAAGAATTCTTTTAATGTTTCTAAGGGACTCAAAAAATAAGACTTGAATAAAAGAACAGGAAGACATGTGACAAAGTGTCAAAACTCCCTAACATTTCATGCAATTCCATTAAATTTTCAGTAAAAATTTTGAATTTTCTACGAGAAATTTCTAAGAACAAAAGTTCTTATGAGAATATGAATAAGCCAAAAATTCTGAAAGAAAATAACGAAGGGGGAAGTAGCTCTACCTGATACTAAAATATGTTTTAAAACTAATAACTGCCGAGTCATCTTTGCAATTAAATGAACAGATCAGTAAAACTAAATATAAAATCCAGATCTACTCAGATATATACAGGAAGTAAGGTATATGGTTATACTTGATCTTAGCCAAAAGGCCAAGAAGCAATAAAGATGGCAGTTTTGATGAGTGGAGGAAACAGTAGATTATTGAACACCTGACAGTATTAAACCAATGGCCAATAATCTGTTGAAAGTTTTTGGGTTTTTTTGTTGTTGTTGTTGTTGTTGTTTTTTTTGTATTTAAGTAGGCTTCATGCCCATTGCAGAGCTCAGTGCAGGGCTTGAACTCATGACCGTGAGATCAAGACCTGAGCTGAGATCAATAGTTGGACGCTTAGCCGACTGAGCCACCCAGGCACCCCTGCTATAAGTTATTTTTGCATGGCAAAAACAAAGTCAAATGAGAAACTATAAATTATTTGAAGTGAATACAGTACTTCCTTCCTTTAAAAAAAGATCTAATAACCAATTTAGAAAATAAAAATCTAATAGAAAAGTGAAAGAATTATAAGAGACCATTAACAGATGAGAAACTAAGGATGTTTTTTAAACTTATGAAAAGAAGCTTATTTTCTCTTATAATGGGAAAAATAAAACCCAGAACCACAATTTCTACCTATTAGATAGGCATGCATCAAGAAGTTGGTATCGGTAGCATTTATCAAGGTATTGGCATACATCAAGAAGTTGGTATCAGTAGCATTTATCAAGGTGTATCAGTATATTCTCATATATTGCTGGTGATAGTGTAAATGGTAGAGCCTTCTGGAGAGCAGCTTGAAGGTAGGCTGCTAAGAGAGAAAAATTAGTGCTAGAAAGGAGGGGAACTTGCCCAAAATCTAACCTCTTGCCCAAGAGCCTCTATCTCTGGATTTTGGGATAAAATAAGATTTGTCTAGCTTATTCTCCTTCCTGTAAATTATGTGGAATGTGCAGAGTGGTCAAAGGCCAAAGCAAGGGAAATGGAGGCGATTTCAATTGAGACTTAAGTCATAAGAGAGCTATAAGTCGTGTATAGTGTCATTTTGGCTTCTTTTCATCTTGGCTTTGCCTTCTTAGGAACTGCCTCTTTTCCAAAGAGGAACCTAAAGGAAGACTGGTCACCTCTTGCAAATCTCAAAACCATGGCTCAGGTGAGGTGATGGTTCCTCTCTTCCAAAATAATCTTTATTTTTTTAATTTTTTTTAAGGATATTTGAGCATTTGCCTTTCTTGTACTAAATCCTCCTGCCTATCTTCCCCTTCAGGAAAGTGTCCCCATTTCTTTCCATATTGGCCAGATAAGCCTTTTCCTTCCACAAATGCTCCTTCTAATTTTAACTAATTTTCACACATTAAGTGGGTTTATCATTAAACATCTTTCTTTGTCTTCTCCCAGAAGCAGAGCTGGGACAAAAAATGCATTTCCTCAAATGAGAATATATTACTGCATGAACTTTGCTTGTTTAAATAAAAACAGTCAAGATGGAGATGGAATTGATGTTGCTTTTAGTAAGTAGCAAGGACTATTGTCTTGAGGCTTTAAGAAAAGAGTTATGCTTGGCAAATTGTACAGAGAACAGAGAATCTTGCTTTTCTCCTATCTGATCCTCCAGTTTTGCCCATAGCTGCTAACAATTCCTAAAAATCCATGGCCTGCCAATAACACTCCCCCATTATGCTAATGGTGTTCCTATTTTTAAACTTCTCTAATTTTATATTTGGATGCAAGGGAAGTAAATATATATGCTTGGATCACCATACTGAATTACAAGTATAACTCTTGAAATATCCTGCCCTTGGTTTCAAAGATGTTGTTATCTCTTGGTTCTTTCAGAAATGTCATCTTTATATCTGGACCTCTTAAATACTACTGTGCTCCAGATTCTTTTATTATTATAATTTTTTTATGTTTATTTATTTTTGAGAGAGAGAGTGTGAAGGGCAGAGAGAGACACACACACACACACACACACACACACACACACACACACACACAAAATCTGAAGTGGGCTCCAGGCTCTGAGCTGTCAGCACAGAGCCTGATGGGGCTCGAACCCACAAACAGTGAGATCATGACCTAAGCCGAAGTTGGACACTTAAACTAACTGAGCCACCCAGGCGCCCCTGTACTTCAGATTCTTTATTGGTTCTCTTCTTTTTTCATTTCCCTGTTCCTATTCACAGTCTACCACCATTATTCTAATGCTCACATAATTGTAAACCTAAACCTCTGTTCTGAGTGTCAAAACCATATCCAATCTCCAACTAAAAATCACCACCTGCATATTCCACAGATACTTCAGGCACATGCCCAAGATTTATCTCATTATCTCCTGCCCATCGTGTTCTTTTTTGTTTTGTTTTCTATCTGCTTTTGGCCCCAGTCCCATACCCACCTGCTAATATAGCTAGCTTGAGTTAAATAAATATCTCTCTTCCACTATGCAATTTAGTGGTGATTTTATTCCTTATACCACAGTTGCCTTCATGTCCCTTGATATCTTTATTTTGAGTGCCTCTCTCATATCCTGGTCACTTGTCTTACCATATAACACCTTTGTTCCTCCAAGTGCTCACCCCACTGCTCACTTATGGATCTTTGTGTTTCTTTTGCTTTTCTGTTTAACCGTGTGTGTGTGTGTGTGTGTGTGTGTGTGTGTGTGTGTGTGTGTGTAGTAAAATATACGTAGTGTAAAATTTCACCATTTTAGCCATTGTTGAGTGTATAGTTTAGCCCCATGAAATACATTCAGCGTTGTGTAACCAGTACCACTATGTATTTCCAGAACTTTTTCATCATCCCAGACAGAAACTCTGTACTTATAACATTAATCGGTGACTGTTAACCTTATACTTTTTATAGCATCAGAACTAAAGCACATTAGAAGAATGTATAAAGATAGCCCTTTAGGGGAGTGGAAGATGGTAAAATATTAACAGTTTAAATTCAATAATAGTAATCAATGATAATAATGGTTTTCCAATTCACGAATATGATGTACATCTCCTTTTATTTAAGATCTTTAAATTCTCTCAGTAATGTTTTGTTGTTTTCAGTGTACAGTCTTACACGTTTTGTTATGTTAATCCCTGGGTATTTTTTTTATGCTATTGTAAATGCTATTTATTTTTATTTCAAATTTTCACTGTTCACTAATATATGAAAACACAATTGATTTTTGTATATTGACCTGCAGTCTTTCTAAAGTCACTTATTAGTTCTAGTAATTTTTTGTATTCTTTAGGATTTTCTACATAGATAAGCATGTCATACGTAAATAATGACTGTTTGCCTTCTTGCTTTTCAAACTATGCATCTACGGCATTGTCTAGAACCTTCAGTATAATGTTGAATAGAAATGGTGAGAACAGACATTTTTGCCTTGTTCCTGCCTTAGGGGAAAGGGATTCAGAGTTTCACTATTAAGTATGATATTAGTTATAATTTTGCATTGATTTATCAGGTTAAAGAAGTTCCAGTTTGCTGATAGTTTTTATCATGAGAGGGTGCTGAATTTTTTCAAAAGTTTTTCTTCATCTATTGGTTATTCCCCATTATTTGGCTTTTCTCTCTCTCTCTCTCTTTTAATGTTTATTTATTTTTGAGAGAGAGAGAGAGAGAGAGAGCGCATAGGAGCAGGGCGGGCAGAGAGAATCCGAAGCAGTCTCCAGGCTCTGAGCTGACAGCACAGAGCCCAATGCAGGGCTTAAACTCACAGACCATGAGATCATGACCTGAGCCAAAGTTGGACACTTAACTGACTGAACCACTCAGGTGCCCCTTCTCTTTTTTCTATTAACACCATGAATTATATTGATTTTGAAGTGTTCAGCCAACTTAGAAGCTCTAGCTCTAGGATAAATCCCACTTATGTAATGTTTGATGAATTTGCTAATATAGTACATTGTTAAGGAGTTGTTTGTGGTTCATAAAGAATTTGGTCTATATTTTGTCTTGTAATACCTTTGTTTAGTTTTCATATCAGGATAATTCTTTTAAAATAAGTTGGGAAGTATACGCTCTTATTTTCTAAAAGAATTTGTGTAAATTGGTACTATTTCTTCTTAAAGTGTTTGTTAGAAATCACCAGTGAATAAATCTTTAAAAATTAAAAATAAAAACAGAGGGGCGCCCAGGTAGCTCAGTCAGTTAAGTGTCCAACTTTGGCTCATGTCATGATCTCGTGGTTTGTTAGTTTGAGTCCTATATTGGGCTCTGTGCTGACAGGCCAGAGCCTGGAGCCTGCTTCAGATTCTGTCTCCCTCTCTCTCTGCCCCTCCCCTGCTCATGCTCTGTTTCTCTCTCAAAAATAAAACATTAAAAAAAAATATTTCTTAATAAATAAATAAAAACAGAGGGAGGGAAACCATAAAAGACTCTTAAATACAGAGAACAATCTGAGAGTTACTGGAGGGGAGGTGGGTGGGGAAATGGATTAAATGGTTGATGGGCATTAAAGAGGACACTTACTGAGATGAGCACTGGGTGTCATATAAGAGATGAATACCTGGGTTCTACTCCTGAAGCCACTACATAACTACACTGTATGTTAACTAACTTGAAAATGAATAAGTAGTAATAATAATATATTTTAAAAAAGAAGAATTCACCAGTGAAGCCATGTTAACCTGGAGATTTTTTTGTGGGAACGGGTTTAACTAGCAGCTCAATTTCCTTGGTAGAATTAGGGATATTCAGGTTATCAGGGTGTTTTCTTCAGTGAGCTTTTATAGTTTGTATCTTTCAAGGAATTTGTCAAATTTATTGACAAAGTTGTCAAAAATATACTCTTTTTATCCTTTTGATATTTGTGTAATCTGTAGCAATGCCCCTCTTTCATTTCTGCTGTTGATAATTTGTGTCTTATTCTTTTCCTTGGTCAGTTGCCTAGAGTTTTACCAATTTCATTTGTCATTTCAAAGTACCAGCTTTGGGTTTCATTGGTTTACTCCATTGTTTTTCTGTTTCCTCTTTCTTCACATCTTTTTTGTTTCCTTTTTTTTTTTTCTCAATACTTTGGGTTTAATTAAGTTATTTTCTAGTTTTGAGAGAGACAGCATGAGTAGGGGAGTAGCAGAGAGAAGGAGACACAGAATCGGATGCAGTCTCTAGGCGCTGAGCTGTCACCCAGAGCCCAATGCAGGGATTGAACCCACAAGCAGTGAGATCGTGACCTGAGCTGAGGTCAGACTTTTAACTGACTGAACCGCCCAGGTGCCCCAAAACTTCTGTATCCTTATTGATTTTCAGTCTATTTGTGTAGCAGTCACTGAGAGAAGAAAGTTGAAATCTTCAGTTATAATTTTGGTTTTGTCTGTTTTTCCTTTTCTATCAGTTTTTACTTAATGTATTTTTAAGTTCTGTTTTTAGGTGCATTCACATTTAGAATTGTTACATTCTCTCATGAATTGATCCCCTCTGTTATTTTGAAATGCCTTATTTAATCCCTGATAATATTCTTTGTGCTGAAATTTGTATTGTTTGATATTATAGCCAATTTAGCTTTCTTATGATTAGTATTTACACGGTATACATGTTTTCCATCCTTTTTAAAATTTTTTAAGTTTACTTATTTTGAGAGAGAGCAAGTGGGGTAGAGGCAGAGAGAGTGGAGGAGAGAATATCAAGCAGACTCCGCAGGGTCAGCATAGAGGCCGATGTAGGGCTCAAACTCACAAATTGTGAGATCATGACCTGAGCCCAAACCAAGAGTTGGACACTTAATTGACTAAGCCACCCAGGTGCCCCTCCATCCTTTTACTTTAACCTTCCTATGTTTTCATATTTAGAGTGAGCCTCTTGTAGATAGTATATAGTTTGTCCTTTTAAATTTTTTTTTACTTTTAAGTAACCTCTACACCCAATGTGGAGCTCCAACTAACAACCCCAAGATCAAGAATCACATGCTCCACTGACTGAGTGGTACCCCTGTAGAGCATCACTTTTTGTAATCTCACAACACATGTTTTTCCAGAGCAAATATGCTATACACTAAGACAGAATATATGCAAATCTCAATAAAAAGAAATCATATGGAGCATCTTCTCTAACCACAATTGAATTAAATTAGATGTCAATAAAAATAATATACCTAGACTAGGCCCAAATGTTTGGAAATTAAACAATATGCTAATTTTTTTTTTTTTAAACAGTGAGAATTTTCCTTTTTATTTTTTTATTAAATTTTTTTTTTCAACGTTTATTTATTTTTGGGACAGAGAGAGACAGAGCATGAACGGGGGAGGGGCAGAGAGAGAGGGAGACACAGAATCGGAAACAGGCTCCAGGCTCTGAGCCATCAGCCCAGAGCCCGACGCGGGGATCGAACTCACGGACCACGAGATCGTGACCTGGCTGAAGTGGGACGCTTAACCGACTGCGCCACCCAGGCGCCCCACAATATGCTAATTTTTTAAAAAATGTTTATTTTTGAGAGAGTGTGAGTGGGGAAGGGGTAGGGAGTGAGGGAGACAGAATCTGAAGTAGGCTCCAGGCTCTGAGCTGTCAGCACAGAGCCCAACATAGGGCTCAAACCACAAGCCGCTAGCTCATGACCTGAGCCGAAGTTGGACGCCCCAACAATATACTACTTCTGAGTAATCAATTTTGGGTCAAAGAATAACCAAAAAGAAAATTTTCATAAAATTAATGAAATTTATGGCTAACATCATACTTAATGGTGAACGACTGTTTTCCCTCCTAAGATCAGGAGCAAGACAAGGATGTCTACTTTAATGCTTCTATCAACACTGTAGATGATGCGTAAAGAATGAAAAAGAAATATAAGGCATATAGACTAGAAAGGGAGAAGGTAAACTGTATTTGCAGATAATATGACCAGGTTATGTAGGAAGTATTAAGGAAAAGTACTAGAAATAAAAAGTGAATTCAGCAAGGTCACTTGTATCAAAATACAAAAATCAATTCTATTTTTATATACTAACAACAAAAAATTGAAAATGAGTTTAAAGAATAAAATTAAGAAAACATTTACAAGACCTGTACACTGAAAACTACAAAACACTGCTGAGAAAAATTTAAGAAGACCTAAATAAGCATACATAAGGTCCATGGATTGGAAGACCTACTACTGTTAACATATCTGTTATCTCCAACCAATTTATAAAGTCTTTCAAAACTCAATCAAAATCTAAGTAAGTTGTTTTATAAAGATTGATAAGTTGATTCTAAAATTAACCTGGAAATGTAAAACACCTAACATGTCTAAACAGGTTCTAAATGACAGTGTTGGAAGATTATTAATGGTGCTCTACAGGGGCACCTGACTGACTCAGTCACTGGAGTATGTGATTCTTGATCTCAGGGTTGTAAATTGGAGCCCCATGTTGCGTATAAATCTGTCCAGATTTTCCTCCCCTTTTTACTGACAAACATTTACATCAACTATGGTTTTGGATTTTTTTAAGTCTCATTTTACTTTTGTCAATTTTTGCTTTATGTTTTTTGAAACTCTTGTTATTTAAATATGTATACATTTGTAATTGTTCTATTTTCCTAGTGTATTCACTTTTTCATCAATGTAAAATGCCTCTCTTTGTCTGCAGTAGTAACATTGCTCAACTTTCCCATGTGTAGTGTTTGTATGTCATTTTCCATCCTTTAGTTTCAGCCTATTTGTGTCTATGGTATTTAAAATATGTCTCTTGTAGGGGCACCTGAGTGGCTCATTTGGTTAAGCTTCCTATTCTTGATTTCAGCTCAGATCATGATCTCATGGTTCATAAGATTGAGCCCTGTGTCAGGCTCTGAGCTGGATGTGGAGCCTGCTTGGGTTTTTCTCCCTTTCTCTCTGCCCCTTCCCCAGTTGTACATGTGCATGTGCTTGCTCTCTCTCTCTCTCTCTCTCTCTCTCTCTCTCTCTGTCTCAAAATAAATAAATAAACTTTAAAAAATAAAATATGTCTCAAAATTATATTAAATCTTGCTTTTTCATGCATTCTAATATCTTGGTCATTTTATTGGAATGTTTGGTCCATTTATATTTAATACAATTAGAGGTAAATGGATTTAGGGCTGCCATTTTGCTGTTTTATTTTCCAAATGCTTAACCTATGTTTTTAATCCTTTTAAATATACTTTATATTTCAAGACAGTTTTAGGTTCATGACAAAATTGTAGAGTTTCCACTACCGTCTGCCCCCATGCATGATTAATAGCCTCCCCATTATCAATATCTTGCACCAAAGTGTACATTCATTACAATGAACCTACATTGATACATAATTCCAAAGTCCAATAGATTTTGGCAAATATATGACATTCTGCCATTATAGTATTATACAGAATAGTTTTAGTGCCTAAAACTTTTAGGGCTACACCTTTTTGTCCCTTCTTTTTTTACTCTCTCCAGAGTTTTGCCTTTCCAGAATGTCATATAGTTGGAATTATATGGACTTTTCTGATGGGCTTCTTGCACCTACTAACGTGCATTTAAGTTTCCTCCTAATCTGTTTTTATTCATCTCTTCGTATATACTGTTGTATTTTCTATCAAATACATGTTAATGGTTCATTTTCATTCTTCTCTTGACTTTTTATTTATTTATTTATTTATTTTAATGTTCTATTTATTTATTTTGAAAGAGACAGAGAATGCCAATGCAAGAGGGGCAGAGAGAGGAAGAGAGAGAAGCCCAAGCAGGGTGGACACTCATCATGGAGCCTGACACAGGGCTTGATTCCATGACTGTGAGATCATGACCTGAGCTAAAAATCAAGAGTTGGACACTCACCAACTGAGCCACCCAGGCACCCCTCCTCTATTGACTTTTTAGTTGTATCTATTTCTATGCCCAGGTTTTCCATTAGTTCTTTGAAGACATTAAGAGCAGCTGCTTTGAAGCTTTTTTTGGTGGGGTTTTTTTTTTTTTGGCAAAATCCAACATTGGGACCCACTAGGGATTAATTTCTGTGACTGGCTTTTTCTGAATATGAGTCATATTCTCCCTTGTTTTGTTTGCATATTTAGTAATTTTTACTAGAAATCTGGATATCATGAATAATACAGTAATCTGATACTGTTATGTCTTTTTTCTGAGGATTATTGGTTTTTTGTCCTGGCAGGCAACTAACTTGCTTGAAATTGAACTTTAGGGGCGCCTGGGTGGGGCAGTCGGTTAAGCGTCCGACTTCAGCCAGGTCACGATCTCGCGGTCCGTGAGTTCGAGCCCCACGTCGGGCTCTGGGCTGATGGCTCAGAGCCTGGAGCCTGTTTCCGATTCTGTGTCTCCCTCTCTCTCTGCCCCTCCCCCGTTCATGCTCTGTCTCTCTCTGTCCCAAAAATAAATAAACGTTGAAAAAAAAAAATAAAAAAAATAAAAAAAGAAATTGAACTTTAAACTCTGCACCAACCCCAAGTATGAAGCAGCTGATATGTCAGCTCAGTTCTTTAAGCTTCCAGCTGCTGCTTTTGACCCTGGCCCCCTTAGGTGAGGGGAGATAGGTTCTCCTTGTGTTCATATATATTAGCTGTCAGTTAAGGAATTGGTGAGAGTTTATACTTAGATTTGGGGACTTACTTTCGGTAGGCCTGTTTCTTCCAGTGTTCCACTCCTTATACTTCCTGCTGCTTTGTGAGCTGCAACTTCTGACACCTCAATCCAGTAAGACTTCAGTTTTCTTCTGCTTGTGCTATGATCAGGTTGTATAATACTGGTAATCAAAAATACCAAAATCTCAGAATCTCACTAGATGCATTTCTATTTTTCAAAACTCTTTTTTGGTATCTTTCTGTCTGCTTTTTCCTAAGTCCTCTCTGATGTCTCCAACAATTGCTTAGTTTAATTATCAATGTGGTGTTCTGGCAGTGTTTATACTCAGATTTTGGTTCTCATCCTTTCTATAGTTCTCTCACTTCAAGAATTTATTTCTAAATCTCGAGCTCAGCTGCCTTAACAGCTATGGGGTTTCTGGTACCTTCATGCAAAAAAGCCATGGATTGAACAATTCTTACCCATCACGGTTGCTATCCTTTAAGGATAAGCTCTCCATTGGGGCACCTGGGTAGCTCAGTCGGTTGATCATCGGACTTTTGATTTCAGCTCAGGTCATGATTCCAGGGTTGTGGGATCAAGCCCTACGTCGGGTTCCACACTGAACATTTAGCGTGCTTGGGATTCTCTTTCTGGCTCTGCCCCTTTCCCCAGCTCATGCTCTCCCTCTCTCTCTCAAGTAAAAAATAATAATAATAATAATAATTCAATTTTTTTAAAAAAGGTTAAACTCTCCTTCAATTTTTGCTTGCTTTGATTGCTTCCAGTTCCATCTATGAGTTGTTATATGTTGTTTTCAGACATATATATTAAGTATAAATGATTATTATCTGAGGGATCATTTTCTTGATCAATTGACTGTATTATTTTTGGGTGCCAGAAGTTGCTCCCATGCATTTTTAAACCATATTTTTTCTGCATAATACATTAGTCTTGACAGAGAAAAGTTTTACCTCCTCAATTGTGTTGCCCTTGTAATATATCACATCTTGTACATTCTTCTCTTGTAGTACCTCTAACACCTTCAAGCAGGTGTATGTTTAAACATACTTTCTTGAAGGCTTTGAGGCTATGCAGGGACAGTGTTTTATATATCTTGGCACTCCAGTAAACTAATGCAGTTTGGGGGTACAAAGTGACTTTACATAAATATTTGTGTGATGAATTATTAAATAAATTCAGTGGCAGGTACTTCTGTCTTTTGTTTACCTTACAATATAAATTACAAAACAAAAATGATTAGCTTTTTTTACATTGATATGAATGCCCCAAAGGAACAGATCAAAAGTAGTCCCCAATATCTAGTCAGCTTATTCTGATCACAGTTCCAATCCGTTGCAGGCATCAGTGTCATTCAAAGATGTGACTGTTGACTTCTCTCGGGAGGAGTGGCAGCACCTGGATCCTGCTCAGAAGACTCTCTACATGGATGTGATGTTGGAAAACTATTGCCACCTCATCTCTGTAGGTAAGAAAAACTCTCTTTGAAACTTTCAGTAGCATGCATTTCCTTTCAAAGTGCCTAAATTATGTGTGATCTTGTGTTTCAGGGATAAGATTGATGAATTCTTTTTTTTTTGTTTTCAGAAAGGATAATTTTGTACTTGCCCAGAGCAAGGCATTAAGTTTACTCTTACACAAAGAAGTATCTTAATTTGCAGTATTGAAAATGTACTTTACTAATTTTTCAAATGTATTGAAGCCTAAACAACTTAATCCAAATTTTTCTTTGTCAGGGTGTCACATGACCAAACCTGATGTGATCCTCAAGTTAGAACGAGGAGAAGAGCCATGGACATCATTTACAGGTCATACCTGCTTAGGTGAGTTTCTGACTCTTCAGGTGGATGAAATCTAATGGAGAATAAATTTTATTAAAAATTTTTTTTTTTCAACGTTTATTTATTTTTTTTGGGACAGAGAGAGACAGAGCATGAATGGGGGAGGGGCAGAGAGAGGGAGACACAGAATCGGAAACAGGCTCCAGGCTCTGAGCCATCAGCCCAGAGCCTGATGCGGGGCTCAAACTCACGGACCGCGAGATCGTGACCTGGCTGAAGTCAGACGCTTAACCGACTGTGCCACCTAGGCGCCCCGAGAATAAATTTTAAAACAGTCATGTGGTAGGTGGCACCTTCGAAATATGCCACCTGGTGTGGGAGTGTCTTTTTAAAGGCTCCTAACCTTTGAAATGATCATTATTCCTGCAAAACTTAAATCAAACTTTTAAATATGACTCTCCCAATATAATATTCTTTTCTAGTTTGCTTGATGTTATCAAAGATAGTTGCCACTCCTAATCAAAATGTATTATAAACCTTCTTTTTAGATCTTTTTTCTTGTTTTGTGTCTTTTTCTAACTTCAGTCTCTTATCTTCTTGACATTGTATATTTTCTTTTGAACATTCTTAAATCTGTTTTTATAAGAGAGAAAATTCTTGTTTAATGTTTTTCTTCTCAGTTGCTTTCCATTTCTTTCTTTTTCTTTCTTTTAATTGCCTCAGGTTTGTTTTCTGTGCTAAGTCTAAGATCCCCTTCTCACCACAAATATAGCTGTTAATTTTAAAACTTAACTTGCTTTGGCCCAGATTGATAATTCCACAGTTATCATTCTCTTCTATTAAACTTTTGTCATTCACTTTATATGGCAGATCATCATTCCTGAAATCAACCCTTCATTTGGGTAAAGCATTAACTTATTCTTATCCTGGTTCTCTGAGTGATTATTTCCAAGTTGGTCTATTTTCTTCATCACTGGACATACTGCCTAATAATACCTGGCACATAATGGTCATTGATACATATATTTTTAAATGTATGTTGTTTCACTAGACTCTCAGTCTTATTTCTCTGATTTGACCTCAAAGGATCTGCCTTTAAATTATGGAAATCTCATCCATTCTGAGGACAAAAGGTCTTTGTTTTATGTAGAGGTCTGTAACACTGACATACTCAGTGCATTTCTCCCACCTTCACTATAGTACTTCAAGGGTTCTGCACTCTGATGTTTCACCTATTTTGTGACAACATGTTAGAAATGAAAATCACAAACTTTCCTACCCTTTAAATTCTTCCCCACTGTTTCCAAATATTTTATTTTTACCATGATACCAGCTTTCTCTGTGTCTATCATCATCTCTTATGAATCTCTTCACAATTTGTGTTATGTTTATCAGCCTGTGAAATGTATTTACGTTTTCCCATATTTTCATTTTTCACTGACCTCATACAAAATAACAATTATCTTATTTCATGTCTTGACTACAATAATTACAGCTTGGCTTTGCTATAATTTTGTCCTAATTCTTTCAATTTATATTGTTACTTTTCTGACAAGAGATATCATTGCTTGTTCCCTATTATTATATGAAATTGAAATTCTTCATTCAAGGACTACTATAATAAGCCCTCATCTGGTCTTTGCAACTTTATTTCTCTCCATTATGGAAAACTTTTGGTAATTTCCACTTGATTTAGTCTCCTCAATGTTCTCCACACATGTGTAATTTGTCATAATGCTTGTACTGTTCATTGTGTTGTGTTCTCCCTTCCATATACTATGTATCTTTTAAGTCTTGAGATTTCTTCTGCATAAACTATTCCTTAACCACTTCACATAGATTTTCTGAATTCCCATGCTACTTACCAACTCAGACACACACAACTCTTGAAAATAATGATGTAATTTGGTACCCAGTTATATGTGATTTATGCTTAAGGCTTTTTTAATTCAAAGATAAGATCCTCTATCTTTTTTGCTATAGTATATAATATTTTAAATATTCCATAGTTGCTCATTAACTTGAAGCTATACAGGCAAGTTATGCTTTTGCTCCATTCACAAAGCATGGTAAGCTCCTTCCAGATGTACCTGCTCAGGCCATGGCTGTATAGATTCTGATTGAAATTGTTGGATTCTGGGGCACCTGGGTGTCTCAGTCGGTTGAGCGTCTGACTTCAGCTCAGGTCATGATTTCATGGTCTGTGAGTTCAAACCCTGCGTTGGGCTCTGTGCTGACAGCTCAGAGCCTGGAGCCTGCTTTGGATTCTGTGTCTCCCTCTCTCTCTGCCCCTCCCCTGCTCATGCTCTGTCTGTTTCTCTCTCTCTCTCTCTCTCTCCGTCAAAAATAAATAAACATTGAATTGGCTGGATTCTACCAAACACTACCTATCTAGGTAGGATATACAGTGTTAATGTAAACTCAGAAGAGTTCAAAGGAGATAATCAATAAAGTATTCCTTTCTATGGAAAAGGATTACTATCAAAATCTGCATCTTTCACAAAATATTTAAGACATGATTAAGCTTGTGAAAATATTTTGTTAAAATTACTTTCCTAGACCATAACCATTTTTAAGTTATAAAGAAATAGTGCTTAAAGTGGTAGGGGGAAATAAGTGAAGGATTTTTGGCATCATGGAACATAGCATTTTCTTGAAGATAATCTGAGTAGAAATAAGAATGGAAGGCAAGCCACTTGATTAAAAAAACATAAGCAAAGTATGTGATTAGGAGTAAGTGAGATATTTATAAGGCAAAAAAGATGAGGCCTCACTTTTATGTGTGAAAGTTGTCAGATAGGTGGACAACCCTGAAAACTTGTTGGAATATGAAAAGTGAATCTCAGCGATTCAAAGTTTTGTTTACAGGAGAAATTCCTTATATGTTGGTGTTGAGAGTAATGGACTGAAGGAAGAAATAGATTTTTTAAACCTAAATTTAACATTATTTTACTAGATGTGGATGATTGCAAAATAACAGAAGTCAAATATAGCTATAAAATATAAGAGAAATGAAGGTTAAAGTTAATCACTTAGAATGAGATGTAATCTTGTCCACCATGTGGCAAACTGGAGTTAAGAAAAGTTATGAGCGCCTGGGTGGCTCAGTCAGTGAAGCGTCCAAATCTAGATTTCAGCTCAGGTCACGGTCTCACAGGAGATAGAGCCCCACGTTGGGCTCTGTGCTGGCATTGTGGAGCCTGCTTGGGATTCTCTCTCCCTCTTTCTCTTTGCCCTTCCCCTGCTCTCTCTCTCTCTCTCTCTCTCTCAAAAATAAATAAACCTTTAAAAAAAAAAAAAAGAAAAGTTACTATATTGAGAGGAAAGACTTGTGGCAGTTTTTCCTTAAACCTGAAAAAGTTAAGTCTGTGAAAAGAAATAGTTACAATTGATGGTCATGAGATTTTTGTTATTGAACCATTCTGAAAGGATTGGTAGTAATAGCAATAATGAATACACCAATAAATATACTCCTAGTCAGTTTTAAAGTTCCTGTTGGAAGTGTCTTCATAGCTCTTTTCTCACAGGAGAAAATGATAACCAATTATATGGAGGATTAGAGCCTAGGCTATAGGGTTGTCTTTTAAACACTAGGAAATTACTTGATACTTGGAAAGATTAATGAGCCATTGATGGGTACATAGTAGGCGGTGGTGGAATAACTGGAAATGTTTTGCCTCACAGTCTAGAGCTGAATGTATAAAAATATAGGCTCTGATCTGTGTTCTCCAAAAGTAATCCTTCCTCTAATATTTTTCTTGAATAAGCTTTTCTACTAATTTTTCTTGTCCATCCTACTTAAAGTTTACTGCCCTTGAAAGGTTCACTTCATTGCTTCCAAATCCACCTGTCCAAACATCGGTCTGTCTTTCACCATTCTTTGTCTTCTCACTGCTTGGTGTATTCATTTAACTTTCTGTATGAAGTTCTGATACAAAGTGCAAAAGTTACTAGCGTTCATTGCTTAATTTTTCATTCTTGTCCACACCGAGGCAGAGTTTTTCTTTAGGTTTTGTGTCTTTTCCCTGGCAAGGAATAATTTGTCCAGGGTCTTTTTTGATCTCATATACTAGACACCAGTACAATTTCTTTCCATAGCAAATATGTGAAGATTCACAAATTGTTATTATATTCTTTTGTAGAAGAAAATTGGAAAGATGAAGACTTTTTAGTGAAATTCAAGGAATACCAAGATAAGTTTTCTAGATCAGTTGTATTCATCAACCACAAAAAACTGGTTAAAGAGAACAGTAATGCATATGAAAAGACATTTACTTTAAGCAAAAACCCTATTAATTCAAAAAATCTACCTCCTGAATATGATACTCATGGAAAGATTTTTAAAAATGTTTCAGAATTAATCATCAGTAATATAAGTCCTGCAAGAAAGAGACTTAGTGAGTATAATGGATATGGGAAATCACTTCTCAATACTAAACCAGAGGCAGCTCAACCTGGAGTCAAATCCCATAATCAGCGTGGCAGGGTTGTCAGTCATAATGACGTACTTATACAATATCATAAGGTGGAAACTCAAGCACAGCCATTTGGATATAATGACTGTGAGAAAGCCTTCCTTAAAAAAGGAGAATTAATTACACATAATAGAGCTTACATAAGGGAAAACCCATCTGAATACAATAAAAGGAGAAGAACAACCAATATTGAAAAAAAACATACATGCACTGAATGTGGGAAGTCCTTCTGCAGGAAGTCAGTATTGATTCTGCACCAGGGAATTCACACAGAGGAAAAACCCTATCAGTGCCATCAATGTGGAAATTCATTTAGAAGGAAGTCATATCTCATTGATCATCAAAGAACTCACACAGGAGAGAAACCCTTTGTTTGTAATGAATGTGGTAAGTCCTTCCGCCTAAAGACAGCCCTCACTGATCATCAGAGAACACATACAGGGGAAAAATCATACGAATGTCCACAGTGTAGGAATGCCTTCAGATTGAAGTCACACCTCATACGTCATCAGAGAACTCATACAGGAGAGAAACCATATGAGTGTAATGACTGTGGGAAGTCCTTCCGCCAGAAGACAACACTCTCTCTACATCAGAGAATTCATACAGGAGAGAAACCCTATATTTGTAAAGAATGTGGGAAGTCCTTTCACCAGAAGGCAAACCTTACTGTACATCAGAGAACTCATACGGGGGAAAAGCCCTATATTTGTAATGAATGTGGAAAATCATTCTCCCAGAAGACAACCCTCGCTCTTCATGAGAAGACTCATAATGAGGAGAAACCCTATATTTGTAATGAATGTGGGAAGTCCTTTCGCCAAAAGACAACCCTTGTGGCACATCAGAGAACACATACAGGGGAAAAATCCTATGAATGTCCTCACTGTGGGAAGGCCTTTAGAATGAAGTCATACCTCATTGATCATCACAGAACTCACACAGGAGAAAAACCATATGAATGTAATGAATGTGGGAAATCCTTCAGTCAGAAGACAAATCTGAATCTGCATCAGAGAATTCATACAGGAGAGAAACCCTATATTTGTAATGAATGTGGGAAGTCCTTTCGCCAGAAAGCAACTCTCACTGTACATCAAAAAATACATACAGGACAGAAATCCTACGAATGTCCTCAGTGTGGGAAAGCCTTTAGCAGGAAGTCATATCTCATTCATCATCAAAGAACTCATACAGGAGAGAAACCATATAAATGTAATGAATGTGGGAAGTGCTTCCGCCAGAAAACAAATCTCATTGTACATCAGAGAACTCACACAGGAGAGAAACCCTATATTTGTAATGAGTGTAGTAAGTCCTTCAGTTATAAGAGAAACCTCATTGTCCATCAGAGAACTCACAAGGGAGAAAACATAGAAATTCAATAAATGATGTGATCTCTTTGTGAAGCCTTTCCAAGTTACTGTAAAATTTTAGTTTAAGGGAAAAAAGCATGCTAAAACATTTTAATAAGGTAATTTTAATCACAAATGTAATAATAGTTAAAGTACCAACCACAGAACTGTCTGCTGTTTACTAGCACATGTAATGGATATGATCATTGTTATCAAACTTTATCAGAAATGAAGCTAATTTTTTAAGTTTTCAAGTTCTGTTCACTTAGATTATTTTTTTAAAGTGCTTACAATAATATATGCAGAGACAAGATACAAAATGGTTATAATATCAGTCTCCATAAAAGAAAGAAAATATGAAATATATTTCTCCTTGTGCTCTGGAATAAAGAATAACTGTTATTTCCCCAAAGATTACCATGTCCCTGGCTTATAACATCATGAAGCAGTCTTTGCATGTCTAAATTTTATGTTGTATCATATATCATGAATTATTTTGTGTCTTGTCTCAACATTTTTAAGATTCATACATTATTGCATGTGGCAGTAATGTATTCATTTTCATTGTGCATACTCTTCCATTTTAAGAATATACCACTATTTATCCTCTTGATGGATGTTTGTATTTTTATAAATTTGTGTTGTAATAAAAATACTGCTCTAAATATTCTGTGTATGTGTGTATGTATATTTCTGTTGATCTTATAGTAAGATGAGTTACTCAGTCCAAGGGTGTATGTAAGTTTTTTTCAGCTATGGTAGATACTGCCAAACATCTCAGACCTTTCTTTTTTTTTTTTTTTTTTTTTAATTTTTTTTTTCAACGTTTATTTATTTTTGGGACAGAGAGAGACAGAGCATGAACGGGGGAGGGGCAGAG